CAACATTACTTACCTTATTATGCCACCTAACGTGAGAAAGAGATCGTAGACATCTATGATCAAAAACAGTCAACCTTTTCATGTCTTCAACTCGTATTGGCCATGTTTCAGAGCCATAGAGAAGGACGGAGCGAAGTGCTGAGCAGTACACACATCCCTTGGTTGATAGCCGGATGTCACGCCTACGCCAGAGATGGTGTAAGTTAGCGAAAGCAGCTCGAGCTTTTTGGATCTTGATTGGTTGCACCACTGGAATTTCGAAATCAGTCATTTATAAAATGATTACTGTTCATTGAGAGGTTAACATTTGCATAAAAGGTGTAGTTGATAGCTTTTTCTTTCACAGAACCCTGTATGTATGTATTTACGATTCGTGTTACTCCGAACTTACTTTATGTTATGGAATTAGTATTTCCATTATCAGTATCACTGTCAACCACCATCATCGTCGTTTACATGTGAATATATTTGGGAATGAAGGATTAGTAAAAATAATTGACTGAAGATTATGTAAAAAGCATTCTATGTGTATGAACTTCCAATGTATTTGTGTCGTCATTCACTTTTACATTGATTAACTGAGGTGACATCAAACTGATGATGAATCCCAAATTAGGACGAAACAGCTGTTCATTGCTCCTTGTTGGTTTCCTAACTGCTATCAATCCGTGATCAAACTGACAGATTACATTTCCTATTGTTTACATAAGGGGATTCTTCATCTAGATTAGCGTTTGCCAGGATATTTCTTTGTTGGTAATCTTCTCACTAACTCAAAGTTTTTGTATGTTCGTTACTTGCTAAACAGATAAAAGCCGTCATGATTGCATTCATCATGTCAATATATAAAATGTCTTATCTACTAATAAAAAGTTTTAAGATATTTATCAGATAGTCACCATTTTATTTAGACGATCAGCTGCGTATAAATTATTTTTGTTTTTCTAAAGAGTATATTGAACGGTTTTGTAGTTCATCAAAATAGTTGAAACATACTGTCTCGATAATTAACTTTTTCGATTAGTTTTGTTGCTTTCTTTTCAACATTGTTTGAATATCCTATTGTTAATCCAGTGTATAGGAGTACGATTCATATTCTCCCTAATGTCCTGGCCTCACTAACAAAGTGTGGAAATGACATATAACTATTTTATATTAGTTTGAACAAAGCAAGAACTACAGTTTTAGCAGAATAAAGTGCTACCATCTTTTAATTCGTTGCCTTCTCGTCAGCTGCTTACAAGGCAAAGACATTAATAAATGTATCTACAAAAACAATTTTAACATACTTGCACAGAGTTCATTTTAAACAAAAATTAATCGATCAATATACGCATACACCAATAATATATACATATATAAATGCATTATTAAAACTATTCCGAACAATAACAATCATACACAATGAAAACTTTTCAGCATCTCGCATTCGGATGAAAAATATCCAGCTACCAGGGCAAAGAAAGACTGATAACCGCTTCTTTCTGAATGCATAAGTCAGGTTTCAGGCGCTTTATGGAAATGGCTTCAGCAAACTTAAGGAGAATTGAGCTCTTTTGCTTATTGATAATTTTAAACGACTTTTCGACGTCCACCTCATGACCCGTGTCGAGGAGATGCCTGACGATGGCACTGCTTAAAGCACTTGTTTCCTTTAGACGTAAGCTTTTTGGTACATGTTCAGAAAATCGTAGATATGCCCTTCTTTCTGTCCTCCCAATGTAACTGCTCCCGCAGATATTTTATATTTATATTTTATGTTAACCATGTCAAACGTGTATTATCTTGTTTCCAGTTACTTTCATAGTTTGTTGAGTTAACGAAAGAAATGTGGTTGATTACTGAAGGTCAAATAAATTACAAAAATTGTGTATTTTTTAAAATTTTGCATAGCATAATTGCTTAACACTTACGCTAGTTCAAGTTAATATTTTACACTCTTGCTTGGGAAACGACATTCGGTGAGTTAACTAAGAATACAGAATACACGTTAAATGTTGCATCTTTTCAATGATGCAGAAGACATTCGGTACAATCAATGTTGTCACTAATTATCTGGATCTTAACAGGATGTCATTATGCACTCAAAAACCTATTTCTACTTTTTTTCGACCGTTTTTTTCAGACACAAGCAGTTTGATTCCTAAGGCTTCAGTAAATAAGTAGCTACCCGCAACAGTAAAATAATAATATTCATACAGGTAATTGAACAAGTTTGACTGTATTAAATGTTTGGAGGCAATCGTCACGAAACCCTACCTGACCACGGTGTCGTGTTAGTTGGCACTCACCAGTCAGCAAGGAGTATCTGCAACCTTGAAGAAACTCATATCCCTTCTGAGATTCGAACCCGCGTCACCCAGCGCTGCATTCAGAGACGTTACTACTGAGCTATTCGGGCTCTCCAGTGACCTCCTGTCGGACTGTATTGAATACTTTGATCGGACACTAGTAACTGGTGTAATGTGTCTGGGGACGTTAACGGGTTCGAAACTCAGAAGGGAAACGAGTTCCTTCAAGGTTGGTGAGTGCTAACTAGCACGAAACCTGGTTCAAGCAAGGTTTCCTGCCAATTGCCCCCAACCATCTAATATCATCAAATCAATGTACACCGTGACGGCGAGCTACCACCTAGAATGGTGACCACATTGCAAATACCTGACTGATAGAATTCAGTCTGCACCAAACAAAGAACTACACACATCACACTAGTTACTGACTAGTGTCCAATCAAAGTGAGTGCGACAGTGAATAGCACAATGAGAACAACACTTGTGGAATGAAGTGAGTTCATTTTCAAGTGTTAGTTTTGAAGGGATTTAACTGGTTACAGGTTCGATCACGAGTTGATATGACATAGCACGATCACTTCATGGGTTGAAGGTGAGGCGGCAGTAACTCATCTAAGAAGACATTGCGAAGTAGTCGCGCTGTCACGTATTGGCAAAAGTTAGAATTCATGGGCTGGTCATTGGATCGGATCCCAGTGGCTTAATGGTATACGAGCTCGCCTTGTAACCAGAAGGTCCTGGGTTCGAACCCCAGGGGGCGTGTACCGATGATGAGTCCCAGATTAGGATGAAACAGCTGTCCAGTACTTCCAGGTTTTCCAGTGGCCCTCTATCTGATGTCAGCTCATGATGAGATCCTCCTACCACTTAGAATTGCTATTGAGTGAGAAGAAATAAAGTTGAGCATCAATCAAGCAAGTGTGAAGAGGGTGAGAAAACGTACAAAAGGAACATGTGAGAGTGATAATAGTGAAATAATTATTAAAGTAAAAGCAAAATAAGAGGAAAATTGAAAATAAAAAGGTAAAAAATTTGTTTCACAGGGAACGACTAGTGAAGACCATAATAGAATAAGAGACTGAACAAACTTGTGTTGTGTTGACGAGTTGCCAGCGCCTCCGCCATACACACAAGACGAAACCTGATGTAGTTTTTACCATTTGGTCTCACCTTGTAGATAATCCTAAAAGACGACTCTGGTGGAGCTGCGTGGCTTGAGTTCACCAAGTGCTCGAGAATTGAGCTAGTAACTGTCTTGCATTGTCCTTTCGCTAGCCGTGCCGGATAATGTTTAGAGATGTGTTTGGAAAGCGCGTGCTTTGTGCGGCCAATATAACTAGCTCCACACGAGCAGGTGAATTTATAAACACACATTGAAGTGGCCCAAATCGGTAGTTTATCCTTCACACATACATTGATCATTTATTGGCCGTAGAAACTGATCCCTAGCTTAGCCGAAAAGAAGGTTTTTCTCAATGATCTGCATAAGCGGTTCTTCAGAATCTCAGCTGCGGTATCACTTTGAATTCAACGTTCATGAATAGCAGTTTCTTCGGCAAAGTCTGAGTTCTTTCGGGTTTTCGCTTTACTTTCATATTTTTCTCGATGAATCTTGAAGGATATCCATTTTTGACGAGGAGTCGTCTGAGTATCTCCAGTTACCCATCGATTGCATCACTGGTGCATATCCTTCTTTTTCTTGATTATTTTGCTTTTACTTTAATAATTAATTCACCATTATCACTCTCGTATGTTGCTTTTGTACATTTTCAAACCCTCTTCACACTTGTTAAATGGACACTCAAATACATTTTTCCTCTCACTCAATAATAGTTGTAACTTTTACGAGTTGATCACGGACTGATATCAGTTAGAGAACCATTGAAAACCAGGGAGTACTAGACAGCTGCTGTTTCATCCTAGTTTGGGAATCATCGGCAGTACGCACCCACTGGGATTCGAACCCGGGACCTTCCGGTTACAAGGCAAGCTCGTATACCATTCAGCCACTGGGATCCGATCCAATGACCAGTCTATGAATTCTAACTTCTACCAATTCGTGATTTAGTGCGACCCCAACCAATGTCGTTGGTGGGACATCCATCCTTACACGTGAGAATTCTAACTTCTACCAGGGTTCGAACCCCAGTGGGTGCGTACTGCCGCTGATTCCCAAACTAGGATGAAACAGCAGCTGTCCAGTACTCCCTGGTTTTCAATGGTTCTCTAACTGATATCAGTCCGTGATCAACTCGTAAAACATAACTAATCCTTACAAACCAAACTATAGTAAGTTGTAACTTTATCAAATTTCTAACGCTTTTTTCCTTTGTGCCGTTGAGTATTACGTAATTTATAGCTTTAATTTTAACTTTCTAAGCCACTTCTAAGTAATTATTATATCAGTTATATCACTCCTATTACTTACAGATTTCTTGTTAGTCCAGGAGTGTATTTACACTATCCTGTTGCAGTATTTATTGTTATTTGTGCCCGTTTTGTTGCTATAGGGCTCACTGATTGATTTAACTGCATAACTTCGTGTCTACCGACGATACATTCTAGCTCCTGTAATGTATAATGTTCAGGTTATATAATTAATTTCCACTCAATGAGTATTATATGAACTTGCATTCAATTTCTGAGTCAGTTTATTATGGCACATCTTTCAGTATTTACATATTTTCTTTATTTTGCAACACAATCTAGGATTACGAACAAAATATGCACAAAAATAATTTCAGTAGTCAATATATTAAATGGAGTTTGGAAAATACTGCTGAAATTTTATATGAACGATTCACTAATCAATTTAGTTGTAGTAATCCTCATATATGGATTATTCGACCTTCACATTGGATAGCTGATTCAATAGCATGTTATCCTAACTTTTTACCGTTTACAAAACCCGGTATACCATTGTTTGAAAGTGATGAAATATGCAAATTTAGAGCAATAAGACATTTAAACGCTTTACTGTTGAATGCTGTTAAACAGTTGGCTGATGGTGAATGTCGTCATGGAAATTGTCAATTGTCTAATATTCCATTACGATTGATTGGTTTCAGTAAAGGATGTTGTGTGCTAACTGAATTGATCTATGAATATTCATTATTATTATGTAGTACTAAAGAAAAATCCGGTAATTTTATAACAACTACTGTCATTGGGGAAACTGATGAACTTTGTAAAAATCTGTCACATATTTATTGGTTAGATTCTGGACATTCAGGTATACATCATCAATGGCCAGTTTCAAATGTCTATCTGTCTTTATTGCAATCATCTACCTGTCCTACATTGCATATTCACGCAACTCCTTATCAGGTAGGTGGTTACGTAATCAGTTATTTGTGGTTTTTATTGGTTGTTTTTGTTTTTAGTCTTACATAGTATTTATCAATGGTAAGTGTATGGTAAAAGCGAAGCAGGTCGATTGACTGGCCTGCACAATGAGAGGTAGAGAAAGAAAGTGAGGAAAAATTGAAACGAAGTCGACTTGCATCACCGCATTTAAGACCAATTTTGTTCTGTAGGCCTATCAAGTATATGGATGTTTCTTTAAGAAATTGTGGATTGACTGGACTGAGGTGCTCGGTCGCCGTTGTGCAGATGCGTCGACGATGTGTGATGATTCAACTTGAAGTAACTTTGTGGATGGCGATTAGCGGTGGAATTCACGATGCTCATTTCGTCCTTTCTGGGGCTAGTCGTCAGCTGGATGTACCTGAATTCACCAGTGAGTGATAGGTGTCCCCACTGAGGCTCGGACCCAACACCCATAGTTTCAAACACAAAGGCGTTACCCACTAGACCACTTGGGCCACGACAGTCACTGCAAAAGAAGGCAAAATGTCAACAGGGGCCGAGCACTTCGTTCCAATCAATCAACGGGAAAGTCCAAATTGAATTTAAAAAATAACTAATATGCTTTGCACAAGGAGTGACTCTCGGGAGCACTTAAATTGGAAGAACAGAAAGAAGGGTACACCTGCGGTTTTCGGAACATGTACCAGAAAGCTTATGTCTGAAGGGATCAAATGCTTTAAACAGTGCCATCACCAGGCATCTCCTTGACACGAGTCATGAGGTGGACGTCGCAAAATCGTTCAAAATTATCAATAGGCAAAAGAGTTCAATTCTCCTCAAGTTTGCCAAAGCAATCTTCATCAAGCGCCTGAAAGCTGATTTATGCGTTCAGAAAGAAGCAGTTATCAGTCTTTCTTTGCCCTGGTAACTGGATATTTTTACTTCTTTTTCATCTGATTACGTAATGTCGAAAGTTTCCATTGTGTATGGTCATTATTGTTCGGAATAGTGTTTAATATTATGTTATTATTATTCTCTTGCATTCCGGGTGGAACATAGGGCTTCAACAACACATCTCCACTTTCTTCTGTTTTCTGCTGTCCTCTTCAGCTGGGTCCACGATTGACCGAACTCTCTCATCTCTTCCTCACACGATCTCCTCCATGTCACCCTAGGACGACCCACTCGTCGCTTCCCATTTGGATTCCACTCGAGGGCCTGGCGTGCGATGTCATTCGGTGGCCTCCTCAATGTATGCCCTATCCATCTCCACTTTCTCCTACATATTTGTTGAGAGATCGGCTCTTGGTTAGTTTGTTCCCAGCCAGAATTTCTTGTTGCTTATTCTTTCAGGCTATTTGATCTTCAGTATGGAGCTAGCGAAAGCAGCTGTTGGTGCAAGTCTTCAACAAGCTGTTGGAAATCCTTTTCACGACGCGCTGTCCAAGTTTCTGACCCGTATAGAACAACTGAATGACTTCACATGTGTTGAAAATCTTTTTCTTGAGTGATGAAGATTTTCAAACTGGTTTCAGGTTGATGAAGGAGTATCTTGCCTTTCCGATTCTGACTTTGAAATCTTCGTCCGTTCCTCCTGTAGTTGAAACGATGCATCCCAGATAAATGAAAGAGGCAACCTCTGTTAAATCTCTCCCGTTGATGATGATTGTTGCTGGTTGTTGTTGCTGTTGCTTGGTTATCTTCATCACCTCCGTCTTCACTGTGTTCACCTGGAGTCCTGTTTTCGCTACCTCTTCAGCCAGTTTGTTGGTTTTGGCTTGCAAGTCTTCGAGCTTGTGTGACGTTGGACATATATCATCTGCGAAATCCTGGTCTTCTAGAGTCTTCTCATTGATGATCCAGCCTACTCCTGTCTCCTCGCTCCCTTCGCATAGTCAGACGTATAATCCAGTCCACCACAATTAAAAACATCGTCTGCGATAATAGGCAGTCAGGCTTGTTTTACTGCTGTATGTACTTCGAATGCCTCACAAAGTTTTCCGTTGTTGATTACCTGACACGTGGCATTGTCATAAAGACAGCTGTTGAATGTGGTTGGTAAAGACTTGGGCACTGCACGCCGTAGTGTTGAAGTAGTTTCCAAATTACGTCTCGGTCAACGCTGTCTCTCGAAGGCCTTTTCGAAGTCGATGAAATTGAGGTAAAATGATGTTTGACTGCCATTCTATGCTTTGTTCTGTGATGAAGATGATGCGTAGAGTTGCAATTTGATCAGCACATGATTCGCCTTTCCTGAATTCAGCTTGTTCAGGTCGGTGTTCTACATCCAGTGCATCCTTTATTCTCTCCAGGATGATGTCACTTAGTATTTTACTTGGTGTGAACAAGAGCATTATTCCACGCCAGTTCTTATTATTATTACTGTATGCATATATTTATTTATTTTTGTTTAAAAATGAACTCTGTGTAAGCCTACCATACTTGTTTCTGTAGATATACTTAATAATGACTTTGGGCTGTAAGCAGATCATGAGAGGCTAACGAAATAAATGATGGTACCACTTTATTCTGCAAAAGCTGTTGTTCTTGCTTTATTCAAACTATCAATAAACTCAGAGGACCTCTGGGAACTTAAGTTGTTTAACCATTATAGCTTCCGTAGTATTATTCACTTTTGATGAAACTGTCCCATAAACATTGTGGGCTATGGATGTTGAGTGGTTAGGAAAAAAGATTAAGTTGGCGCCAAAATTAAGAAGTCTCTGATCACTGATCTGGAAAAAGGATGAGTAAATAGATCTAAAGTGTGTTTGGAAGAAAAGATTTCCTAGTTGAAGCCAAAGTGACTAGGGGAATTTATAAGACAGATGACATTTTATGAAGCGTTTCAAACTAGGACGAAACAGCTATCCAGTACTCCCAGGTTTTCCGGTGGTTCTCTAACCAATGTCAGCTCATGATGAAATCCTGTAACCAATCAACAAAATCCCTACAAACCAATACTTGGACATAGCTCTAAGTCGGTTGAAGCAGTCTAGATGCATTTGTCTTCTTGTTTCAATATTATCTATCTTTATGTACACTATCTTTTATTATCATCATTTTTACTGCGTCGGTGTCACAGCAGTTAGGACGCTCGCCGACCATGCACATGTTCCCGGGTTCGATCCCCGGCCGACGCACTCCTTTACGTCGCCAAGCCAGAAATAAAGCTGGAAGAGAGGAAAGGTTGGGTATGGGGCTAGCAACTTCATCCTGTAAAAATAAACATCACTGTTACAGAAACTTCCAGCCTCTAGCTTGAAGCCGTATGTTCCACTGGGAACGTGAAGGAAAAAAATATCACTATTATTACTCCCTTGGGTTCCAAGTGGGACATAGGGCTTCAACAAGATATCTCCATTTTGTCATGTTCTCCGCAGTCCCCTTCAACTGCTCACACGATTGCCCATAAGCTTTCATCTCCTTCGTGTCAACCTCGGACGGCCAACTCGTCGTTTCCAATTCAAGTTCCACTCAAGGGTCTGGCGTGCGATCTCACCTCAGCGTGTTTCCGATCCATCTCCATTTCCTTCTAGGTATTTGTTAAGCAATAGCTTATTGATTGGTTTCATTCTCAGAGTTTCTTGTTGCTTATTCCTTCTAGCCATCTGATCTTTAGTATGGTACCGCAAAGTCGGCTGTTGTCAGAGGTTTGCAGCAGCCTGTTAGAAATGCTTTTCATGACGTATTCGTCATATGTTTCATTATCCGAGATAAAACTAGATGGATGGTTTTATGATAGAGAAGATCTGCAGCTCAAGCGGGTGATTTTGATTTGTTTATGTTCTCTGAGTTGATTGATTGTATTTCAGAGCTTTCATTCTTCTCCTAGACAACATCTTCAATGGAAGCTTTAGTATGAAGTGAACTTGTTTGAATTTTTCATGAATGAAGCATAATCTTATCTCCTGACAACCACTGTTGTGATTGGTTGTTAATTTACATTTTCATAGGTCACTAATCAGTGTTTTGAAGATACTAATGATCATTGTTTTAGAATGGAACTGGCGACAGTCACATATTCCTTATTTGTTCTCACTAGCATTTCTTCTCCATATTCGATGTTAACATCATGTTGTTTTATTTCCTTCGGTTTTTTAGATCCTGAACCGTTCAAGACCTCAGAAATCAGCTGATTTTCAAAAATTTGTAAATATTTTGTCTGAGTATAGTTTACCTTTCACAAAGAAACTGCATTTTATGCCTGATACTTACAAAAACGGTGGATCATTGCTTGACGATTTGGAGCAGTATCAGGAGGATTGTTCATTACAGAAGCATTTTGAAATTTTGAACCATTTCGATTTTTAAATTATTTTACTCATGATTCCTCTGATCATTGTTCATTTGATTTTTTTTTTGCATCATTGACTTAACTTTTAGTAAAGTGAGAACGACAAATGTACTCGGATAATCTGAGCTCATTATTTTTTATTTATTGCACGGATTCTTCTCAACTGGTTACAACCTGAACAATACCAAAATTATAAATTGAATTAAAGATCTGAACATACTTTTTTTTTACAGTGATTGGAACTAAGCGTAACATTGGTTAGGAGTAATGTAAGCTGTTGTATGATTAAGAGTGAAAAGGATCGACTCTTTATAGAAGAACTGCATGACTAAACTTGGAAACAAAAGGACAGACAGAGTTCAACAGATGTTTTGCGAGAAGAAACAAAGTTTAACTAGAAAGAGTATAAAAAGAAATGGGTTACGTGGCCTCGGGAAAACACGTTTTTATAATAATAATAATAATAATAATAATAATAATTTGCTTTATTCCAAAACAGTACTTGTGATACAGAATGGAACTCTCAGCATTTTTACTACAGTATTGCATCCAGTTAGTACATTATCAATAAATAGAATTCTACATAGATTAAGGAAATCTCAGTTCATTATGACAACAACATATTGGCATGTCGGTAGCAAAGCCAAAGTTGAACAGTGTTTGAAAAGTAGCTGCTATCAT